CTAATCTGACAAAAAAAATTGGGGCCGAACACACACAGATGATCATTTCTTCTGAATTAAAACTAGGGTTTGTGGTATATGATACTTTATATTAGACGTAATTAGATTTAGAAATTTGATGATTAGTAACTGTACATCCATATATGCATATAGGTTTAGGTTCATGTGAGACCAACCTGTTTTTGTAAGACCAATTTTTAACACTTGAAACTTTACAGTAAAATGCTATGAATGTAAAAAAAAGCCGAACCTTCGGCAGCAAAAACACTTCACAACGTTTTACTGTGAAGTTTCAAGTGTAAAAAAGTGGTCTCACTGGTGTCATGAAAATATGTTGGTTTCACGTGATCTCAAGTCTATATACACTATTAAAAATATGTATTTTGTCGGCGAGTATATTCATCCGTACATATATACTATCTATGCAGGTATATACATTAATGCATATAATCAGTGTTATTGTATATGTATTAAATGAATATATACGTTTTCACAATTCTCAATTTTTTTTACAGATCCTCATTTCAAAATATAATGATCATCGGTTAACTTGGGTCAAGTTGATCCGATTAGATCTTTGACTAGTCTCTAAGACTCTAAACAGAAGGGGTGTGCACCAGGCGGGGCCGGGGGGGGGGGGGGGGGGATAAAAACTTGAGTAGATATGGAAATCAAACCCCAATTTTTGGATCTTGGAATGTTTCGGGTTCGGGTTCGGGTTGGTCAGGTTTCAGGTTGAGGTCGGTCGGATTCGGATTTTGTTATAATGCAAAAAATTTATATATCCAATCGATTTAGAGGATTGATAAATCGATAGTATGCTTAGAAATTAGAAAAAAATACGACTGGTCGTAAATTTTTAGAATTTTAAAAAAGATAATTAAATAATAAGTATATTTATATAGCATTTAAAATATACATGTATATATATTTGGCGTTTTCGGACGGATTGGGTGGCCACAAATCAAACCCAACCCGAACCCAAATTTTCGCCAAAAAGACGATTTTCGGATTTCGGAGCATTCGAGTTTTACATAAATACCTTATTTTTTGTTCGGGTTTTGCACACCCCTACTAATTGGTCTCTTTCCAAATTAGTCATTGGTCAAAAACCTGAATCGATCATCGTCTCGAGGACTAGACCAATCCCATAACTGGTTCTACCTGTCTTGTTTATATTCACTTCGATCCTCACCCTAGATTCAGTTATTAGCCCTTTTGTGCATTTTTAATCTTGATTAAATCGAAAAATACTACATTCAATAACTTGTTATCTGTCTAAACAAAGAGTAATTATGAAATCGAACATTTTTCATTTTAAAAAATTATATTAAACATAAAGAAAAAAACTATAAATAAATAATCAAAAAAAATTTCATTTTTATTGGGCCCATAATGTAAAATCATGGGCCTAGAACCTGGCCATCAGGGTAGTGATGGCCAATGAGTTCGAAACTTGTTATGGTTTGATGGTTCGAGACAGGTTATATCTTTACGGAACTTTAGGGTCCGGCCCGTTTATGTATAGGCTCAATTTAAAAAAATAGGTTTTATAAATTATAATACAACTTTTTTCAAGTTCTTTTTTAAAATTCTTAAGGGTTTTTAAGTTTTTCAAAATTTTATCTATTTAAATTACATTTTATAATTAAATTTAAAAAATCATAATTAAAGAAACATGTGTAAATAAAAATAAAAATAAAAATGTATATATATATATATATATATATATATTAGTATTTGACAGAAATTCTTAAAAATTATTTTTTATGTATGAAGTTCTGTATATTGATGCATATTACTTAAAATTCAAGATTACAAGCAAATTACGCATAAGTACAACTTATTAAAGCTACATGTTTAAATTCGTGTAAATAATTGCGGATAAACATAATCAAATATAGGATAAACATCTCATTTTAAAAATTCTAAATTATAATTAGGATAATTATTGAGTTGCAACAAAATAATTAATTATTATCGTTATAAGAAAATTATATTATTAAAAAAATATAAATTACTTCGTTATTTAACCTAAATTAAATTAGTAATAAAAAAATTGAATTAAAAATTACATTAAAATAGGAATTTTAAATAGTTAATTTGATATTAATATCGATATATTTTTTGTCAAATTTTTATGATATTTTCAAATGTATATTTTATTAAAAAATAAAAACATTATCATTTTTTCAAAATAAATTAAGACCATACTATAACATCGACTGAGATAAATAATAAAACGAAACATTAAAATCGAGATGTATCTCGCTGCATTGCGCGAGTACCCTTCTAGTATATATTAAACCAGGTCGTGGCCGAAACCCAGAACCAAGCCTAGATTTGTCCTAGGATTTTGGGCCGAAAGTTGGAACCACGACCAACTGATCCAGTTCTGAAAGGGCCAATGGGAGCTAGTCCAGTCCAACCTAGAATCTTTTTTGCCATCTCTATATTAGAGATGGCCAAAAATCGGTCCCCAGTTGGGCCAGGCCCAAATCGATCTTGTTTCCCTACAGTATTTTCGTAACTGCTCCTAGTCCCAACCCCAAACAGTGTTTCCATAAACTCGTAATATTTTTGAAAAAATCAAATTAGGCCAGACCTTCATTTTCGACAAATCAATAGCCGGTTCCGAACCGCCAATCCCAAACGACCCCGATCCTCTGCTGGTCTGGACTCATTTAGCCATCTTTGCTCTAGACCAGAGATTAAGGCCCGGTCCAAGATTAAGAAAAAGCCCAATAGGCCCAAATCACTCACTACCACATAAAAGGAATTGGTGAATGTCTTATTTTTCATCATCAAATTTTTCTTTTTTTCAAAAAAAAAACCCAATTCTACACATCCACATTTTTAATTTGCCCTTCTCTACACATATCCAAATCCAATATAAAATAGAAACCTCTTAAATATTACATACTCTGAAAACCAGTTTTTATGTATTGTTTCACAGATAAAACAATACGTATTTAAAAATCAGATCCGTAAACATCAACCAGAATCATCCAATGAATATGATTTTAAGTTATGATTCATGTTGTTTCACATGTGAATACGAGGTGTTGGTTAGTTTTTTAAAAGACTCTTATTTACCATTTGTGTCTCTTATTGAATCAGAGGTAAGACTATTCAGACTGTTATTTGTTATGTGAAAAGAGCTTAAAACCTCTTATTGGACGATAAAACTTGATGTTCAATGACATATTTTTATTAGACATCCAGGGACGAACCCAGAAACTTTATCAACGGTGACACCATTTGGCTATAAGAAACAATTTCAAATGGTGACACTATTTGACTATACAAAACAAATGTAGGAAAAAATTTCAAACTGTGGCACCATTTGACTAAGAAAATGACACTAACAGGATTCAAACTCGGGTCGGAAGTGGAATAAAATTCTTGCAAACCAACTCCACCAAAGAAAACTTGTTTACATTGTAGTTTCAAAATACATACGGTGGCACACAACAAATTAATATGGTTGCACCTTTCACGAACCTAAATTTTTTTCACCCTTCAACGGAGAAATAATATGATGGCACGTGACACCGTTGGCACCACTGTAGGTCCGTCCATGTAGACGTCTGACATTTTTTATTAGATTTTTTTTGATGTTTTATTGTAACGTTATATTTTTTTTAGGTTCAGCAAATGATGTTGAAAACAGAATTTTCGATGATTTTATACTGTTTTTAAATGTTTTAAACCGTGTATTATATCGTATTTGAGTCATTGGGATCATTTGAAATCACTCAGTATTATAAAAACTGTATCTAAGCCCTTGGATAAGTCTTTTTCTTTGTCTGAGATCTCGTCAAACCTTCATAACAAATAGACACCGTTCTTTTATAGCAAAACACACCAAACATCCAAAGCAAAATGTCAAACCGTCACGTGAACGACACTTCCACATGAGAAAAGACAACATCTACATTCAGATAAAAATCATACTGAACATATCGAACATTCACAGAAAAACATACTAAACGATGACACCTTTTGACTACAAGAAACAAATGTATATATTTTTAAACGGTGACACTATTTGACTAAGAAAATTACTTTAACAAGATTCAAACTTGGATCTGGGATAGAATAAAAGATTTGCAAATCAACTATACTAAATAAAACTTGTTATAATTGTAATTTCAAAATACATACGGTGGCACACAACAAATTAATACCGTTGCACATTTCACAAACCTAAATCTTTTTACCCTTCGACGGAAGAATAATACGATGGCACGTGCCACCTGTATGCACCACTATAGGTCCGTCTCTGTTGAATCTCAAAGGATGTGGTGAAAATCCCATTTGCTCGAGTTCAATTCCAACAATTGTAACCATCGAGTTTATCAAAACTACGACCGTTATTTACCGGATTAATCTTGACATACGAGACACCCTAAAAAGAGAGATTTATTTTTCGTGTATATATATATATATATATATATATATAGGGGAGCGATCAAATGCAAACCACTCAATTTGTACAAACCGTGCAAACCGCATTCAACCAATCATAATTTTTCATTTTTTTCATTTTTTTGTAATTATGAGAGGTTGATTAATCATTTTTATTGTGGAGGGTGTTAATCATATATATTATCATCTTTATTATTTTAATTTTAGAGAAATACATGAAACAGTTTCATTAATGTTAGAGAAATACATGAAACAGTTTCATTAAGTATTATATGAAACAATTTCACAACCATATATGAAACAACTTTATCAAAAAAAGTATTATATGAAACAATTTCACAAGATTAAACAATTTCATGAAAAAATTTCATAAGATTAAACAATAAAATCGACAGATGAAGGTGGTTTGCACGGTTTACACAAATGAGGGCGGTTTTCATATGATCACTCATCTATATATATATATATATATATATATATATATTGCAATGATTGAAACATGTCTTTTTCGTACAATCTCTCACCACTCTATCTATCTCTCTCATTTATTGTTAAACCTAACCTTCAAACTTAGCTGAAAAGATGAATTTGTTGATGTTACGGCGGTTTTGGGTGGTTCCGGCGGTGGTGACGGTGGCATTGTCGGCGGTGTTAATGTGTGAAGCAGGATGTGGTTATGAAGCTATCTTCAATTTCGGCGACTCAAATTCCGACACCGGTGGTTTTTGGTCGGCGTTTCCTGGTGCTCCACCGCCAAATGGTATGACGTATTTCAAACGTCCGGCAGGTCGGGCTTCCGACGGCCGCCTCATTATTGACTTCATAGGTATATATAAATATATTGTGCTTAAATATATATATATATATATATATATATATACACACACATATAGATAGATAGATTTCGGATTACGTGAAACCAGTATGTTTTTGTGAGATCCGTGATTTTATACTTGAAACTTCACAGTGTTTTTGTTGTCAATGTTCGACTTTTTTTTCCTTCACAACGTTTTGCTGTGAAGGTTCAAGTGTACAAAGGTAGTCTCACGAAAACAAAAACAAACTCATCAAGATAAAATGATTTAAAATCATGATATTTTTCAATTTCATTTTTTTATAGCTTCAGAAAATTAATAGTCAAGATAACTTTTCTGAAAACTGATTTAAACCGTTGGATTGAGATAGATTCAATAAACGTGATTAAAAAGGAGATGTTTGTAACTACTTTTTTTTTCTCGAAAATTGGTGATATTAACAAAAATTAGAGGGAAACAATTTATACCAAATAAATGATTCTTTATTATCTTTAATTTGACATCTGATCTGATATATTCTTTCATCCATTTTTTCTCGGTTCTTTGGTTTTTATGGATTTTTTTCGATTTTTTTCTTACACACACACACATATACATGTAGGATTGGGTTCATATGAAATACGTGAAACCACATTTTTACACTTGAATTTCATAGCAAAACATTGTGAAAGTAAAAAAAATCCGAACATTCACAGAAAACACTATGTGAATGTTACATCCACAGTATTTTGCTGTAAAGTTTCAAGCGTAAAAAAGTGGTCTCACATATTTCACAAAAACAATATGCTCTCACATAATCCCAAGTCTATATATAGGGGCTTAGTTATTTGAGAACTCCTAAATTTGTGATATCCGTAAGAACTTATATCTTAAAGTTTTGTTACGCATGATTTTTTTCATCTATGTATAGTATTTAATATATTAATTAACATATATTTGTTTTAAAATGTATTTTTCTTTCATATGTATTCAGTTCACAATATAAAACTTTTTACATGTAATTTTTGTTGTGTGCCAAAAAAATTCATATTGTAAACCGAATACATATCAAACAAATATATGTTAATAACTACATTAAATATAATAAAAAAATAAATACAAATTACAATAATGTGAAAATTTCATAGGGAATTGTAACATTATTAGAAGACAAAGTAGCTTATCCCCTATGGTCCAATGTTTGGGGAAAATGGTTTTGATTTATTTCTTTTAAACTGGTTCGGACCTAAATAAGGTCCGAATCTGATTTACTGTGGACTAATCGGGACCATCGGTCCCAAATAAGTTCAGTTGTTAACGTAATCAATGTTGGTTGTAGCTCAAAGATTGGGAATTCCATTAGTGAGCCCGTACTTGAAATCAATCGGATCGGATTACAAGCATGGTGTGAATTTCGCGACACTGGCGTCGACAGTGTTGCTACCGCAGACCTCCTTGTTTGTCTCTGGACTGAGCCCTTTTGCGTTGCCGATTCAACTGAACCAAATGAAAAACTTCAAGGCCCAAGTCGACCAACTGTATGATCAAGGTAAAAAAATATATATCTGAAAAGATATTGAATTCTAGACAAATTATGATCAAGTTCTGTATTTTCAGGGTCGTCCAATCTTCCTCCACCTGATATCTTTGGGAAATCGCTCTATACATTTTACATCGGTCAGAATGATTTCACATCTAATTTAGCTAAAGGTATTGACGTAGTCAAGCCGACCCTTCCGCAAGTCATTTCGCAAATTACAAGCACAATTAAGGCAGGTGAATCTTCGAAATCAAGTTTTTTGTTGAAGTGTCACATCAGTTAGACACAATCCTTTTAACTTATATATATATATATATATATAGAGAGAGAGAGAGAGAGAGAGAGAGRGAGAGGTGAGTTATTATGCAACCCTTTACATTTGTACAACTAATACAACTCAATCTCAACCGTCCAATTAATTTGATAGTTATGCGATTTCATAAAAGTTTAGATTGTTTCATAGTATAAAGTATTGATCTTAATTAATGAACCCTAGTCATCTTCCATAAATATTCAAATCATAATAAATGAACTCTCATCATTTCCATAAATATCTTAATTGACTGGGTTGCATTGGTTGTATAAATGTGATAAGTTGCATTTGAAACGTCATCTCTCTCTCTCTCTCTCTATATATATATATATATATATAGAGAGAGAGAGAGAGAGAGATAGAGAGAGAGGAGGGGGGGGGGAGGTTTAAGGGAAAATCCCCAAAAAAAACTAATGCACACACTATGTGCATACAAGTAATGGAAGATTTTTTCAGGTTCGTATGCACAAAACAAATTACTTATATGCACACATACATATCATATAGACAAACAGTTAAGTGTGTTCCTCAAATTTTCATTTTTTGTGGTTTTTCAATAACCTAACCTTATATATATATATATATATATATATATATATATAGAGAGAGAGAGAGAGAGAGAGAGAGGCTTAATCATTTGAGAATCCAATAAATTGTGACAACCTTAAGAACTAAGAACTGGTGCATCGTATGCTATTTCACGTGATTTTTTTCATCTATGGCTTGGATTTAATATATTAATCAACATATATTTGTTTCACAATGTGTTTGGTTCATATGTATTCGTTTCACAATATGAAACTTTTTAGTTGTATTTTTTGTTTCACAAACGCATAAACAACGTTCACACTGTGAAATGATTATATGTGAAACAAACACATTGAGAAACAAATATATGTTAATTAATTATCTAAATTGAAACCATAGATGAAAAAGATCATGTGAAATAGCACATGATGCACCAGTTCTCACAAGGTTATCATAATTTAATAGGTTTTATATATATATATATATATATATATATATATATATATATATATGAGCCTGCTTTCTCTCTTAAGGCCATTTTTAGAGTGTGATCTGAATGGGTTTCACACATCTTCACATGGTATCGGAGCCAATGTCTACCACCTTTAGGGACTCGACACTTTGGGTATTGTCTCTATCCGACCTCTATTGGAGGGGGATGTGTTGGAGTCTCACATCAGCTAGACACTGTACTTTTTCCTTTATATATGTTAGAATCTCTTTTTCTTTATCCATTCAACGACTCTTTTAGAAAGTAATCTGATTTATCTGTAAGCAAGCAGGAGTTGCATGGATTAGGAGGTCGTACGTTTTTCGTCCAAAATTTGGCACCGATCGGATGCTACCCTTCATTCTTGGTACAACTCCCTCACGACAATAAAGATATCGACGAGTTTGGATGTATGATCCCGTTCAACAATGCCGTAGTCGAATACAACAAGATGCTCCATGACGCACTCAACCAAACCGGAAAAGAACTCTCGGATGCGAACGTTATATACGTCGATTCTCACAAAGTGTTGCTCAAGCTTTTCCGACATCCCGCTTCTCACGGTACGACTACTTCACCCCTAATAACATCTCAGGTTCGTACGCATATTTACCGATATACCCCTTGTGTTTTAAAACTGATACGTCGATATAGGTTTGAAGTATGGTACATTAGCGTGTTGCGGAAACGGGGGAGGTCCATATAACTACAATCCGAAAGTGTTTTGTGGGAACAATAAGGTTGTAAACGGACAAAATATCACCGCGTCGGCTTGCGGTGATCCCGAAAACTACGTGAGCTGGGACGGAGTCCACACGACAGAGGCCGCAAACAAGATTATCGTTGATGCCATCCTCGGTGACGGATTTACGAACCCTCCTTTTGAGATCAAGTGTACGTAATTCGGCGTTCGGTTTTCGATTCGAATAAAATAAAACATAATAAATAAAAAAAGGAAATAAAAATACATAAATTTCAAGGATAATAATCATTCTCAATAACAGGTTGAGTCCTAATCCACAAAGCAGATGGCATTCTACTGTGCCCAACATATTTTGTATCCAAAACCTCTAATTTTTCTGATTGTTTTTCCATTTTTCGAATTCTTTTCCGTTTGACGAACCGAATTACGTTAAATAAAACGAACCCAACCGACAGGAATCCGACGCTTCCGACGCCAAACCCGACCACCCACCATTTCCACATCCGATGTGACTGTGGGACCCGCACAACGATTGCAAAATGCCCTTGTCCCCATACCGCACATGTATGGGACAAGGACATGTTGGTAATCTTAATCCTCCCGTTCGAGTAAAACTTGATACATTTCCCTTGAGGTAGCCAAACCGACGGGAAGTGGACCATGATCGGGTGTCGGATGAGCGCTAGCTTCAACTTTGTCGTCGTAGAGGTGAAATGACCATTTTGCCCTCTCGTGTGTCGTACGCCGTAGGCGCTAAAACCGAGGATCGGGGTGACAAAAGTGTAATGGGGCATATCGTAATAATACGACGACCAATTTCCTAGATTTGAAAAAACTATATCTAGCCATGTAACGTTCGGCTCAGGAGTTATTCTCGGTGGAACGTCGAAATAACTCAAATTAGCCCCTTGGGCCCAAACGCTCGAGGTTTGCAGCTGAACGACCGAAGCCTGCATTCCGGCGAAATTCGAGGGTAGAGATACGTTATACAACGTGCCCACGTGAGGATTTTTTGGGATCGATTTCTTGGCGTGATCTTGGAGAAAATCGTCCAATGATTGTTGAGGATGGCGGGCCATGGCTTGGATCAACCGTAACGAACACAAACAACAAAAAGTCGCGAAATTGATGATGAAGCTTGTTTTAGACCCCATCAACATCAAAATGGAACACCGGCGTTGCAACGATCATCAAACGAAACCCAGAGAAAGAATTAGATCAGTATCCTGGTAACGATCAGGGTCCCGTAAATCGTTCAAGATCCGACCTTAAGAGACACAGATACGAATGTTTTTCATAGTATTTGCCAAAATGTTAGGAGGATGTTTTAGGTTGTTCCGGTGATGGTGGAAAACAGAGAATCGAATTCTTTCTGTCTTTTAGGTAAAGAAAATAACTATATATATGTTATCATTTTCAGATCTTATTCTGGGTAGAATTTACTGAGTTTGTTTGATTCAGATCCGTAAGTAAATTTACGAATAAGGTGTGAGGGTGTCTTCAAAGCCCTAGATCATTTGATAAAGTCAAGGGTAGTAAAGTAATTTTACATTTAAAATATATCAAGATACAAAAAAGTTAGTCTGCGTTTTTTTTTCTCAATTACCGTAACAAAGTTTCAAAATTTGCTATTTAATGTAATTAAGTTTCAAAAGTATTTTGATCTTGTGATGTTTGATGACATGGATGTCAAAGTACTGTTCATTTCACTGTAACTTTTTCGTAAACTTTCTGTAAACCGGTATCGTCATCATTATCATTAAATGTTACAAGATCAGAAAGTTACCCGTCAAAACGGGTATGTAATAGAAAATTCCGAAACTTTATTACATCAACTGAAGAAAAAATTATCCATCATATTACGTAAAAAAATCTAATTCAAACTTTGCTGTATTTTGATACAATTCATACTCGTAAAAATCAGATCCAAATAACTGCGAAAACACATAATCATTTACAGAACTTATAAACTTGTTTTCATGTGTTATTTCAAACATGAAACAACACGTGTGAAAATGCAGTGTTTATGCATTGTTGTTTCATTCGTGAAACGTTCAGTACCATTTTGTATAAAAAACAGTTATGAACGTTTCATGTTTGAAACAGTACTATATAAACACTGTTTATATATATATATATATATTTATATATATATATATATATATATATATATATATATATCACTTATGTATGAAACAACACATTAAAACTGGTTTATAAATTTGTACAAATTATTTAGAAAATTCTAAGAATTAATACTTTGAGGACCCAAAAATTTAAGGCTAAAAGAAAACATGTAGTATGAACCTTTCAAACGTGGATTGTGAAGATAAACAAACAACCAATCGGGAAGCTTTATTTGTCCACGTGTCATAATAAAATCTTGTTTTTTTGTTTTTTAACAATAAAAACTAAAAAAAAAAGAAAATTAAAGAAACAGAAAAACGAGCTCGGAAAAGATAACTTTGTGAGGACAGCAATGGCGACTACGGTCTATGCGGCGGCAACTTCCACCTCCATGGCGGCCACCGCCGTCATGTTACCTCGTCTTCCTACTAGAACCACCACCACCGCCCGTTGCTCCGCCGTACCTAACCTCCCAACTCGTTCGTTTTCAACGTCCGTGAAGCAGGTTTCAGGTATACATTATCCATTTGTTTGTTTTGTTTTCTCTTGAGCATTTCGTCGAACAGTTTGGTGCATGTGAAGATTTTGATGTTGTAGATGCTTAGATTGCTGAAAATAAGGCATAACAAGATTTTGGGGTTTAACTACAAGTGTGGTGACCGATTGGTGATAGGTTTGAACTTGGCTCCAAAAGGTCAAAATAGCTGGAGCTCTCAGGTTCAAATCTAATAAGGAATAAAAATCCTCTAATGGCCACGGAAGTTCAAATGCGATGACTCCGGGATATCTGCAAAGCAGGTGGTCACCCTAGAATTAGTTGGCTAACGTAGCGGGTTAGATATCCAGATTAATTAAAAAAAAGAATTTGGGGTTATAGGAATTGATGATTGAGTTTACATCACTAAATTAGTGATTGTTGGATTGCGTATGTTTCATGGCGGACCATGGCGGACCCAAGATTTTTGCCGAGCAGGTTGCACATTTCAGGGATCAAAGGCCTATAAAGTATACTTTTAGCCATCCGCCGTTTCGAGCGAATATTTTAAGTTTTTGTTGGTTGATTTCGAGGGTCTTTTCGGTTTTTTATTTCAAGACTTCTCCAGATGGTTTCAAGGGATTTTTTTCGATTTTTTGGTTATGTCCCGTGTATTTTCTATTATCCCAAGCACCTCTTTGATTCTTTCTGCTATTAGTGGGTGCACCTCTCGTAGGTCCGCCCCTGCTATGTTAGTTGTTAGAATCCCACATCGGGCATATTTAAACTATTCTCCACAATATATGTTGGAACCTCCTTTTTGTCTCTTTTAGGGTTATTTCAGAAAGTAATATAACGGGGTTCCATTATTCTTACATGGTATCAGAACCAAGGTTTACCGCTCTAGATACTCGACATTCTTGAACAATTCACGCTTGCTAACCTCGTTTGGAGGGGCGTGTTGGAACCTCTTTTCTTTCTTCGAGGGCTGTTTTATAGAGTAATTTAGTGGAGTTTCACATACTCTTATATGGTATTAGTGGCAACGTGTTAGAGTCCCACATTGACTAGACTTCACTTTCTCTTCGGTATAAGTTGGAACCCCCTCAATTTCTTCTCAAGGCTCTATTGGAGGGAAATCCGTATCCCTGCAACTTAGCGACAAAATAATCACTTTTTTTGCGTTTCTTGAAGCATCTTCACTTAATCACCTTTGTTTCTTGAATTTTTCATATTTTGGTAAATGTGGATGTCCAAACTAGCTTGCACGCACCTCAACTAATCCCATAGGGCCTGAAGATAACAGTCAGGAAAATCATCAATGATCCTAAGGAGACCGACAACATATGAGTTTTGCATCTTGGGTTCAATGAAGAATGGTTTTCATGAGTAGTTTTATCTCATTTCTATTTCATGTTCCTCTACATACCAGAGTCGAAGCGGTCATCTTTGTTCCGGATCAAGGCCTCAGAAGATGCATCATCCGCGACAGATCCTAATGAATTGTTCACCGACCTATTGGAAAAGGTGAACATGGCACCGAATCTTTTTCGCTTTATATCTCCTTGTTATGCTTTTTCTCTCTCTTACACACTTTTCACAAGTTGGGGGTCTTCACAGAAACAACTGTTCAGGTCTACTTACATCTTACCATCCCCATGCCCCACCTACGGGTGGGATATACTGAGTTCGTTTGGTTTGGTTTGGTTTTAGTTTTGGTTTATCTCCTTGTTATGCTTTCTCTTTTGGCAAGATTTTCATAAGTCAGAGATCTTCATGGAAAAAACTGCTCTACTATTTGAGATAGAGGTCAGGTCTGCCTACATCTTACCATCCCCAGATCCCCCACCTGCACCTGCACCTGCACCTGCACCTGCACCTGCACCTGCACCTGCACCTGCACCTGCACCTGCACCTGCACCTGGGATACACTGGGTTTGCTTTGATTTGGTTTATCTTCTTGTCATGCTTCTTTCTTTACAGTTCTTGTTTCTTCTTCACTTTGTTGTTTGCAGTGGGATGCACTTGAAAACAAGTCTACAGTCATAATCTATGGAGGAGGAGGAATTGTTGCAATTTGGTTATCCTCAATCCTTATTGGTGCCATTAACTCCGTTCCACTGGTAAGTAGTAGCGTAAGCGGTTGTCCTGTACGTTTCAGTAGATTAGTTGACTACAATATTATATGTGATTGACTACAGTAGAAAAGGTGTTTTCGTTTTTTCGTAAAATGAAGGTGTTTTAATTAAATCCCCTTTCTCTCTCTCTCTCTCTATATATATATATATAGAGAGAGAGAGAGAGAGAGAGAGAGAATTTGGTTCAAACAAAAACCAAATAATAGAACACGAGAAGGGCCAAATGACATAAATAGCAATCGCAATGACGAGAGCACCAAAACTTTTATGTGGAAAACCCTTCGATAAACCAAATCAAACAAACCCAACATATCACACCAAATATAGTGGCCTTGGGGAGAGATTATCTTGGTTGTTTTCTTCATACCTCATGGTAGTAGTCGAGATGCGTGCAAGCTAGTCTGGACATCCACAGTTATAAAAAAAAAACTAGGCTGCATATCGGTTCCACTGATTTTTTTTTCATGGTTCCGTTAAATTTTCAGCTTCCGAAAATAATGGAGTTGGTAGGACTTGGATATACGGGATGGTTTGTCTACCGATATCTACTCTTCAAGGTAAGAATCCTCTCATTCCTGGACCGAATAACTTGCATCACACACAGTTCACGAAAATGTCAAGTGGTGGTTATGGGTACGGCTGGTCCTGGAACCGGGCTGGTCCTTGTTGGATAGGACCTTGACCGGTTCCTCTGGTCCTCAGCTATATGCGTACCAAACCTTGAGGATCAATTGAGCTAAGCTAGGCCTTGAGTCCTAATACGTCGTCAGTTTGAGTCTCCTTGGGATCATTGAGGATTTTTCTGGCTGTTTATCTTCATGGGCCTATGGATTAGTTTATATGCGCACAAACTGGCCTAGAAGCCCAGAGTCACCAAAAAGTATATCTTCGTCTCGTCTTAGAGACCATACTTTTGTTAAACATTGGTCGTTTTTGTACTCCAGTCGAGCAGAAAAGAGCTAGCCACGGATATCGAGTCCATAAAGAAGAAGATCGCAGGGACCGAGTAGATGATCGTGGTTTCGATCTATAATCCTACATTTACTTTGTTCATCGCGTTGGAATCGATCTTTTTCTATATATATATTTTTTTGAAATTTATGTACAAGAGGCATATATGGTCTTGTAATGTAGTATAGATCTTCTATGGAATTTGTATGTAATCCTATTATTGTTTTACTCCCCATAAAACTTGAAAAGTTTGGGTAAATTGCGTCTTAGAGACGGTTTACTGAACGCTTATTCGATAAGTGTTTAGTGGGTCATTTTCCTTACCCAGTAAGAGCAATGATAAAAGATAGTCTCACCCAATAAGCACTTACGGGATAAATTGTTGCATACGGTACCATTTTGATGGACTACAAGACTTACCCGATAACAAAGTTAGAGTGTTCTGTCTTACTGGTATGGTCTTATCAGGTAAGCGTTGGCCACGTAAATCGACAACACTGAAGAATCAAATCAGGACCAGATCAGTATCTTTTTCTTTTGTCCAACTTAAAATGACGTCTTTTGAAATTTATATTCTAGAATCATAAAATTCGAGTTTGTATTTGGTTCATGGGAAGACCTATGAAGGAGAAGGGGGTCTCATGCACTTGCTCAACTGATTTTGGCAAGTAGTTTTTTGGGTATAAAATGTGTATCTGTTAAACTTTGAGGAGTGCTCCATGATATTAGAAAATATAAAGTATATAAACCAAAAAAAATAAAAAAGTCTGTCAAAATCAACCAAAAAACTTAAAATTCCTCGAAACAGTGGATTTCGGCTAAAAACACACTGGTTTACGCTTAAAACGTAGTCTTGCATCTTGCTCAAAGGTTGATTCCATTTAAAAAATGTATTTATTTCTCAAATCGACACGATTAACATTTTCCCCGGGTCTAACTGCGTTGACTCTTCCACATGATCAAAAACCTTGATTCTACGGGCGTTTGATTCACTTTAAAGGTGCACCTGGGCATAAAGTTTTGGGTCCTCTGCTACATGAGTTTCTTGTTCCTTGACTTCACCGAAACTGAACAATTTAGATTGGTCCAAATTTTGGTTTTTTAGTTGACGTTTGGTTTATAGATTCTAAAAGAATCTGATGCAATTGAAATATTGAATTTTTTTGACCAAATTTCATTTTCTTTTAAGAAAAGGTAAATTACATGAAAGAGTAACGTACTTTAACTTTATTCATATTTTGGGTAACGTACTTACAAAACTTCCATTTTGGTAACTAAGATGTAAAATTTTAAATATTTAGGTACCCGGTTGAAGTATTAAACGGTTATCATGCTGATGTGACGAGTGATGCAGTATCTAACTCAGTATTATTTGCTGACATGGTTAATGACATGATTTTTTTAATCTAAAATTACTTCAACCGATTATCCGGATACCTAAATGTTCAAAACTTTACATCTCATGTACCAAAATGAAAGTTTTAAAAGTGCGTTATTCAAAATAGGAATCAAGTTAACGTACGTTACTTTTTTCATGCAATTTGTCCTTTAAGAAAAAAATCTTTAAAATCTATTAAAAAATTAAAATAAAGGACTAAAAGTGAAAATTAGACACTTAAAAATATTCAATTCGATTCAATTTGACATGAAAACTTTGGTATCAAAAATATAGAAGGACATACTTGACATTTTTTAACCCTCAAAGTTTCCATATCCTCATTTTCAACACCCAAAGTTCCAATATTTTCATTTTTAACCCCAAGGTTCTGGTATCCGAATTTGTAAACCCCAAAGCTTCCGCATTCTCATTTTCAACCCCCAATGTTTATGTATTCTCATTTTAACCCCATATCTTCAATAGAATTTTTACAGAGGTTTCATTTCATCTTTATACTACTAGCCTCTACTAAAACCCTAGTTCAATTTCTCCGATTCCATCACATCTCCACCGCCACCAATCGCCGCCGCAGTGAACTGCATTCTCTCGTCGGAATGATGCGGATAACACAAATGAATAAATTCAAGCCACTGACCTCATCAATCGAAACCCTAAGCCACCGATTCCTTCAACGATGTTCCGTCAGTGGAACTGCGAAAGGCAAAGGGAAGGTTAAGCCTGGACAAACCCTAAAACGATCGAAAATCACCGTAAAAAAAGGTCAACAAGTACCAGATCCATCGGCGACGAAAGGTTCGAGAAAAGGCCAACTCGAACAAATGATCGACGATTGCTTGCAGGCGAAAGCTCCGGTGAGAGTTTTGAAGCCCAAGGAACGTGCGAGAGAAGCTGAAAGGGAGAAAATGGGATTGATATCTGAAGCTAGAAAACAAGAGATTGCCTATTTTAAGAAAACCACCAAGAGTAAGGCTGAAGATGAAGATTTATCAGGGCTAATCGGACCAAAAGGTTTGGATCTCATAACTTTAGGGATTGTTGATTCTGATAAGATTCCGAAATACGATCTGACAGTAGAGGATGGGAGGAAGTTAGCTAAGGAGTATAGTAGGGTTTTGATGAGGAAGCATAGAGCAAGGCAAGCAGCTGAGACAGGGTTGTTGAAATGCAAGAAAGAAGCTATCGAGGCGTTGCCGGAAAGTTTGAGGGAAGCGGCGATGGTCCCGGATTTGGCTCCTTTTCCGGTGAACAGGTTCATGGCGACATTGACGCCTCCCATTGAAGGGTATATTGAGAAGATAAATGAAGCAGCAAAGAGGCAAAGCTCGGTTAAAGGAAAGCTCAGATGAGGGAAAAGGTTAGGATTATTGGCTTTGATTTGTTAACTGTTTGTGATATATGTGTTTGTTGAATTGATTCTTTTGATTATGGAGTGTTGAATTTGATTTGTTCTTCATGTGATTGTTAATGGAAATGCATATTGGATGATATCATGATACTTTTCTGAAAATGATAGGGTGGAAGAAGCTACACAGATTAGTCTCATTTGATGAAGTACCAACTCATCTATGGGTCTTTTTGTTAGTAGATTAATGAGCTTAATGGGACTCACATCTTATTATACATGACTGTTGTTCAATAAGCTTTTAGAGGGGAGCTTTATGCAGAAAGTCAAGTTTTTCCGAACATGTCATCCCAATAAAAAAAAACATGCTTCTTTCATCTATGAAGAACTCTCCCAAACAAAAACCTTCTCAATCCCTACAGACAGATTAATCCACATTGACAACTTCATCCATATAGGACTTAATGGAAAACCAACCAAACAGCCTCTAGTCGGTAAAGACATCCCTTTTACCAAGAAAAAAATTGTTTTCCCCTTAAAGAATGCTTTCTAGTCCATTCCATTTCTCAACTTGTACCCCCTCTTCCTCTGCTTCTAAGTTCCTTCGCTGAACGCGTTTCTTAACAACTTGACGACTTATAGGACAGCTCCATACCACTTACCGCTTTCCAATTCTATCCAGTATGGAGCCACCTTCTTCACCTGACATGCCCACTTCCTTTTCGTGCAAGGGGGTGATGACCCGTGGTATCACCCAAGCAAGACCGTAGAGCTGGAGTTTTTTAATCCCAAACTCGTCCATATTTCAATTGCAGTCTTCTTGTCCATAGCCTGCTGAGTTTCGCTGTGGGCTACTGAGTCAGGATAAGAAATTGGATTTTTCTCTATCTTTGAACTTTTTATATAATGAGCCAAATTAGGAGGCCATAATTGATCAAGTTTTATTAATTTGATCATGATGATGATTAGTTTTTCTTTATGCCTATGTTTTACGGCCTAAAGATTGATTCTGTATATAGTCTTGTGTTTATTTTGCTATGATGGAACATAAAGGACATTGATGTTATCAATGGTATTTGATTTGATTCCCAAATGGGTTATATGATCTGGGGGAAACTGAACTTTTTTATAGCCTCTGTTGCTTTGATGCCCAAATGGTTATAAGCAGTGAGAAATGACCCAAAAATTCATAAAATGGTTATTGCAGTATGTTCATTGACGATATTTTTTTTTGTAATTTCATTCTGCAAATGACATTAATGTCCCAAAAGCAAGTTGAAATGAGCTTTTGACATGGTTGCAGTTAGCTTTATTGAGCATCCCTCTTTTTAGGTTGTAAGGTCTTGATCTGGCAATAACCTCCACATGAACAGGTTGAAATGGCGTAGAATGCGTTTGATTTCGGTAGTAGCAGATATTATAGATCTATGTAGTATGAATAGATAAGGACAGATAAGATTCTAAGCGATTGTACTGAGATTTATTGACAATGATTGGTGTTACATGATTTGATTTAGAATAAGATGTATGCATGCTGATTATAAGATGATTGTGATCTGATATTTCTTGCCCAAATAAGAGACTAAGGGGATGTTTTACTTTCTCTTTTTTCCATTAAGCCATATGTATGTGTTGAATTGTCTGTCTAGATAAATTTGTCGGTTTGAGACCCATGGCTTTGAGGGAGGCAAAGAGAGTGTGTTGGATTGCATTTATGATATTAATTTGTTTGAGGTGGCTTCATGGGTCAAATGAGGGTCCGGCGTATTCCATATAGTCATTTTGGTTTCATGGCTTCACGTTGGATTAAGCCACCCAGACCATTAGTCTTGTTTGCCTAAGCGAATAAGCCACCCAGACCATTAAGCTGCAAGTAAACAGTCTCTGACCCCTATCCTGCATTGCAGTATCGTTTGGGGCTAAAATATAGTCATCAGTTATATCTTACTCTCTACAGTTGTTTCCTTGATTCATATTCATGTTGTTTGTTTTGAATCTCGTTTCTTAATTGATGCAGATGATTTGTATATGGTGGGTACGGCTGATTTTGGCGGCGGAGTAGACGGTTTGAACCGACTAGAGATAAAACGGTGTCGAATTGAGGAATGTTACCAACTTTAGTTCGGTATCAACTGATTTACTGTTAGTTTTGTTATAATATCTTACTCCTTATTTTGGTTAGGGTTGGATTGTTATGTTGCTGAACCAGCCATTCATCAATAAATGAACTTGTTCAGCTCTTCTCAAGAAATTGGTTCTTTACGACGGTTTCTCCTGTCGTCGTTTATGCTTGTATTTAAGGATCTTGACAACCAATAGTACTTGTTAATTTATAATTTTATATACAGTAAATACTCATGCATACTTCTCGCTTTTGATGAGGCTTGAACCGTTTCCATATAGGCTTGAGCTCTACCAGTAACTTGGGTACTGTTGAGCCAATGTTGCGTTTGTATAGAGATGCTTAGAAAAACTCAAGACCAACGGCCAACCTGAAGAGCTTGGGCTTAGTAAGCCGAGTCCATGCTTGAATTTAGAGTTCTTTTTCAAGCCCGGCTTGAAAAAGCTAGAAAATCCTAGTTAAGCCTGAAAAAGAAGCCTCGAAAGGCTGGTCTTAAAGAGCCCGATTAAACCCTCTTGCAACCCCAAAGCCGGCTGAGGGTTTTGGTTTGGTTTTTCATCAAGTCTTGTATGAATAAAGCTATATGTGTGAATTCATCTGTCTATATAGACTGCAAAGATTTTTATTTGGATTTGAATGAGCATGTTTTTTAATTCGAAATGATTGGTTTGGAAAAAACTTTGATGTTCTTCATAAAATTCCCCTAAAAGCTTATTGAATAAGTTATTTTCTATATTATTAAGCCACTATCAAGCAGTTATATATAACTGACCGAATAAGTTGTGAGTTCCATTAAGCTGTTAACAAACAGGATCCAAAGATTAACCTTTATATTAAGTAGTTTTATGGAAATTCACTTACAATGACTCCAAATTATTCGTGATTGTCTGGAGATTAGTCGTTCTATTAAGCAGTTTTATGGAGGTTCACTTACAATGACTCCAAATTATTCGTGATCGTCCGAAGATTAGTCGTTCTATAAAGCAGTTTTATGAAGGTTCACTTACAATGACTCCAAATTATTCATGATCGACTCGAGATTAGTCGTTCTATTAAGCAGTTTTATGGAGGTTCACTTACAATGACTCCAAATTATTCGTGATCGTCCGAAGATTAGTCATTCTATTAAGCAGTTTTATGGAGGTTCACTTACAATGACTACAAATTTGAGGCTATTTGACAGTTACTGAATGGCTTGGTGCAGAATGATTAAGAAACCCTTATGATATAGTGCAAAATGAAATATAATTGTTTAGTAATTATTCAGAATAAAATTAGGGTGTTGAATGGTTAAGAAATGCACAAGATATAAAATCATTCAGAGGGTTTTAGAACCATTAAGAGACAGACTTTATTTTTTGTCAAACAAGATTCACTTTTTAACGATTCAAATGTTCTCTCTTAGTGAAACTATTAAGAGGTAAACAAACAACCCTTATTCGTAATTGTCCTAAGATTAGTCGTTCTATTAAGCAGTTTTATGAAGATTCACTTACAATTCACTTCCAATGACTCCAAATTATTCTTGATCATCCGGAGATTAATCGTCCTGCAACCCCATGATGATCAAAAATATTATGAAAGCTCATTTGATCAAAGAACCTTTTGGCAACTGAGCTACAAGCTCGAGGGCGGTTCGGTTCGGTTCGGTTTGGTTTATTAAATCTTATTTGGTTAGGAATTTCACACAGGGAAAAGATTAAACTGAAGATGGCTACAATAACTTGGCCAACATTAACACATATCAAGAGAAGGCCATAAAATGGCATTCATATGAAAATGATACAGATAAAAATATTTCACAGGAAATTCAGATTCCAAGAGCTCAGAGATTCTACAAACCATTAACTTTTCAGAACTCGATTTCGTTCATTCCATCCCAATTTGAAATCTGCGGAAGCAAAAAACATTCACAAATTAGACGAACTAACTCTGTATTTTCCATCAACAACAAAGAAATCAGGCATCAAATCCGAGATTTTGAAATCAATTTTGTTACAAAATCACCAGTAAGTTTTCTATTTGAAATCTGAGCATGTATGTCGAGAAATTTTTAGTAACGAAGCAAACAAAAACATGAAATTCAAACCAAAAAGAGGATTAGATGAATTACTAACCCTAGATTTTGTCGATGTGATCATATCCAAACTCGACATAGTATTCACCAGCGCCATCCTCCTCGTCATCAATTTCACCAACAATACCTTCACTAAGCCTAATATTATCCGGCAACTCACCGTACGCCTTCAACAGCCTCGCCTCATAACGAAAATACCTAAGGATAACATCCGCCTTATCGTCCTGGTAATCACGAAGTCCAACGAGAATGATATCTCCCGCGGAGATCCAGACCTTCTTGTGCATCTTACCACGGATGTGGCTAAGACGTTTAGTGCCGTCAATACACATGGCCTCACAACGGCCATTTCCGAGCATACGGAGCACTTGAGCATACTCCTGGCCCTCTTCCTTGAATACGAGCTCTCGCTTCTCGTCGTCAGCTTCGTTCTTCCCTCTCTTGCGATTTTTACCTCCCTTTCCCTTGTTCTTCGGCATTGATGATTGATGAAAGTKGCTTTTTGATCTAGACACTGAGTGTGATTGTGTGTGTTTTTCTATTCATATAGACTATAGAGTCCGTGGCGGTATGTGTAGATACGTGGCCTGCAAGTAAAGCAAATAACGTGTGGAATATTTCGCACCCTTTTAAATAATTGATTGTTTTAGATTTATGTCTTGTATCGATAAAGTTGTCTGTATGATATATTTGAGTAGATAAATGATAAGGTAGTTTTCTGGAATCACAATTGTTTAGATTRTGTATATCACTTTTCGAATCAGATATTCCGACTCTATAGCCTTGGGTTGAACGGAATTCTGAATATGAGATAATCCAAGAAGTAACAATTTAATTTCTTACGCACAGAAATTAGATTATGTTACCGTTGGTTTTTGTATATATCAATCCTTAGATTTGAGAGCCAGAAACGAGGGTTATCTATAGAAATCAGATAAGACCAAACAGTTACGAGAAGGTTAACAACAGTTAAGAACCAAAAACATCCGTTATGAACTAACCATATGTCAAGAACCAAACGGATCAGTTCTAACAAGCTGCCTACTGAGGTTGTGATGTTTTCCATAACACCTTCTTCCATAGAAACAAAAAATTTGGTCTAGGGCGCTGCACTGAGCCTCGCGAGGGCGGCCCCTCTCGACCCCGCCTGCTGACCCAGCAGTGAGACCCCTCGCCAGGGGCACGGCCCCCTTGACCTCTCCCTTTTGGTTATATCGGGATCAATCTAGTCTTATACAAGTGTACACTATGTACCTCCTAACTTGCATAAAAAACTAAGTAAATATCTCTTTTAGCTCTCGTATATTTACCTCTTACATTAAATGAAACCGATGACACTAAAATCACTAACATAATGTCGGGGAGTTTGGTTTGGAAGAATTTTTTATAGATGAAATGAATGTGTTTTTAACTTAGAGTGATAGGTTTGGGAAAAGAACTTTGTTTTATCCCTAAAGTTCTCCTAAAAACTTATCGAATAAGCCACTATTTGTATCATAACGGATTTAGTATGTAAAAGGTGGGGGTGGCTCCCTATTAAAAAGGAAAAACTGCAACAAAATGAAACTAACTTTAACTTAATTCCTATTTTGGGGAACCAACTTTCAAAATCGTCATTTTTGGGAACCAACTTGCACCTGATTCCTATTTTGAGGAACTAACTTTCAAAATCGTCATTTTGGGGAAACAACTTGCACCTGATTCCTATTTTGGGGAACCAACTTGCAAAATAATCATAGAAAAATAACTAAAATTCTTTTTTTTTCAAAAATTAATGCAATAAAATCTATTTTTCATTTCAAATCTCGTTTTTTTTAATTCAGATATCAAATTGAATATTTTTAAAAAAAATCCAAATTACCACAATAAAAATTATTTTTTACTAATGCAAAAAAAATCAATTTAATAGAAAAAAATTAATTGATGCAATTGGTTAGATATAAAAATCTTGAATGTGATATTTAATATTTATTTTTTATTGCATCAATTAATTTTTTTCTATTAATTTTTTTTTTTGCATCAGTAAAAAGCTATTTTTATTGTGGTAATTTGGATTTTTTTTAAATGTTCAATTTGATGTCTGAATTAAAAAAAACGAGATTTGAAATGAAAAATATATTTTATTGCATTAGTTTTTGGAAAAAAAAACAAATTTTAGTTATTTTTCTATAATTATTTTGCAAGTTGGTTCCCCAAAATGACGATTTTGAAAGTTGGTTCCCCAAAATAGGAATCACGTGCAAGTTGGCTCTCCAAAATAAGAATCAGGTACAAGTTGGTTCCCCAAAATGACGATTTTGAAAGTTGGTTCCCCAAAATAGGAATCACGTGCAAGTTGGCTCTCCAAAATAAGAATCAGGTACAAGTTGGTTCCCCAAAATGACAATTTTAAAAGTTGGTTCCCCAAAACAGGAATTAGGTGAAAGTTGGTTCCATTTTGGTGCAATTTTCCCTATTAAAAATACCTTGAAATAGAAAGAAAAAAAAAACTTAAAAACACCTCAAAATAACTTTAAAAATCCCTCAAAACAACGGAATTGAACTAAAAACACATTGGACGACTTTGTAGGACTTTAATCTACTTAAAGATGCCCCACTAGGGGCATGAATCTCAGAGTCCCAACCGAACCCATATGAAACCCGCCCCCTAAGGCACCACAAATGAAGGGCCATTTCATGAACCAACTCAACGGCCAAGGCAAAAGAAGGAATTTAAGCTCACATCTCATGGGATTCGAACTTGAATTTGTTGTATACTCAAACAAAATCACTCTGTCACTTTGTCAACTAAAGGGCCGTTTATTAAACGCTTATCCAGTAAGTACTTACTGAGCAATTTTCTTCACCGAATGAACATGGCAAGGGGCAAAAATCTTACCCAGTATGAATGATGATAAGAATGGAGTCTTACCTGGTAAGTGAGGGTGACAACTCTTATCCGGGTAAACGTTTACCAGGTAAATTGTTGCATAAATACGTTTTAATATACTATAATTTTACCCGATAAAATAAATTATAGTGTTGTCTCTTAACAGTAAGTACTTACCGGATAAGCATTTAGGTAAACGGCCCTAAGCTTCATGCCCGTGGAGGCTTCAACAATACCAATCATAACTAACATTACAAAACCATCA